CTGCACAGCCTGGCACAGCTGTATACAAGATCAACACTGTACACAATTAACTATAACTTCAGTGTTATTTCAATATGCTGATAACTAATAGCACAGCTTGTGCTATAGCAGGTAGTGTTGATATAATGGTAGTAGTAGTTGTAGCTAAGATCCTCTAAATTGAGAGCTCTGTGATATCTTTTATGGCTGCCTGGCAAAGCTGTTAGTGTCCGGGGATAGCTTGGCAAGAATCACTGCAAACTGGAAGGAGAGTGGTGAAAATGTTTGGTGCATCTTGGGTGGGTGCACCTGAAGAATGTGAAATGGATGTTGCTAATCATTGTGTAGTTGAGGGGGAGGCAGAATATGTTGCACTGGGGGGATCAGAGAGTAGTGTATGAGGTGGTGTTGTGGATTTTACCTGTTGGAGTGGTGTTGGGACCTGCCGTTTGAGCTAGAAAATGAAAAGGGACGCTGACGTGTCATTTTTATTGAAATTCAGGAAAAACAACATTTGATTTGTTGGACCAATAACCAAAATGTGGAAACAGTCCCCAAAAGCAGTTTGCTCAATTAGAAATGCTGGTATTTAAACACTATCGCTTGCACCCCTGTCACTTAATACCCAGCTGTGTAGGGATTTGGGGGGAAAGAACAGTACTGATGAGGTGAGTTTCTCATTCTGGGCAATGAACCAAAAGTGTAAAGCAGTAGCCAAGTTGTGGTTGTACAGTTTCTTGATCCCAACCCTCTTTCATAAACACCCTTTCCAACATGCCCGGTCCTTTTTTCTGAACTGCCTCATCAATTGGATGCTCCTAGTGTGGGACTTTAACCCACAACCTTTCAATCAAGACTTTTAAGCTCTACCTACTGAGCTGAACAGAAGGGAGGAGGCCCCCTTCTGTCACTAAAATTTGCAATATCAGCATAATGATATCTTTGATTGACTGGATGTCCCAAAAAGACCAATGCCTCACATGGAGAATATGTGCTTTCTGATGTGGGGGCTTGACCCCACCACCCTGTAATCAAGAGTCTCATTCTCTACCTACTGAGCAAGCCAGGATGACAACAATCTGAAGGGTGAAGCCTACCTTCTTTCTACTATAGTTGCCATATCAGGATAATAATAGCTTTGATTGATTTGCTCTCCCAAAAGCACCAGTGCCTCCACTTGGGGCTCAAAACCTGCCACTAGCATCATTTGACCAGCATGTTCATGGCATTCTTGGAAGAGACCCAATCAGTCTTCAAACTTTGCTCTCCTCTTTGTTAATTTAAAAATTCTGGAGTCTGCAAAAACTGCAGGCAATGGTTACTTTTGTTTCACCCATCTGCCTTTCTTCATTCTTTAATAAGTAATACAGATAATCTAATAAAGATAGATAATTCTTAAGCCATCTTTTATATTGAAAGTAAAAGAATGATGACTACAAATTATTCCAGTATATATTTTTCTTAGTTACAAGTCCCCAGAGACACCCTTCTAGGGTTAGGGTTAGGGGTCATAGCGCGTCAGAAAAAGCTTAATAATATGTTAATTCCACCACAAGATAGACTTGATGTTCTCTACAATTAGGTGAAAAGAATTATGTGCATACATCAGTATCACCTGCTGGCATGTAGAGCTGTCTGCTCCCAGCGCTGTTCCAAAGACTTCTATTCCTGTCATCATCACGCATAGACCAGTAAACCAAGATGTGCACATCCCACACAGAAATAATAGTAATCTCTTAAGGATTAGGACAACTGCACCAACTCCAGCACCCAGAACAAACTCATTTAAAATGGCTCTCTTCCATGTGAGATCACTTTCAAGTAAGACTTTTATCTTAAATGATTTTATCTTGTCTGCAAATCTAGATTTTATGTTTTTAACTGAATCATGGTTGCAAATGAATGACTATAGCCAGCTAGCTGAACTGTGTCCGCCTCAATATGATTGTTTTAGTCAACCGAGGGTCATTATGGCAGAATTGTTCTTTGTGGCGATTTTAATATTCATGTTGATGACCCCACCAATGTTAATGCAACTGACTTTTTAAATATGGCCACTTCTATTAACTTCAAACAACATGTCAAAGGGCAAACCCATAACTGTGGCCATACACTGGACTTGGTTTTTACCCTGAGTGTCAGTATTTCCTCTGTGGAATTAGTGGACATGATCTGACCACAGATGTATTGTTTTTAGCTGCGATTCGCCTGTTACTCACCTGTTACTCACCAAGCTCCGTGTGTTCTCGCATCTTAAATGAACAAAGTGTTTCAAAGTTTTGCACATTCTTTCATAGCCAAAGCAAACACCTGTCTGATTCCAACACCAACAATCTGGTCGATCACTTCAATCATATCTGCTTGTCGTCACTAAATATTACTGCTCCTCTAAAGGTTAGGCCTACGTCTAAAGCTAGTAAGCAACCCTGGATAAATGACAGCATTTGCAGCCTAAAAAGGGAATGCAGGAAAGCAGAACGCAGATGGAAAAAATCCAGTCTCCAAGTCCATTACCTCAGTCTGAAGGATTTATTAATTAACTACAATAACATGGTTAAGGATGCGAGAATACACTATTTTTCTGAACTCATTACTACATATAAACACAATACCAGGTTTCTGTTTAAGACTGTGGATCAGCTGGTAAACCCAACCCCTCCTTGCGCCTTAGCTGGAAGTAATGATGACTGTGAATTGTTTTTATCTTATTTTACCAATAAGGTGGTGTCAATCAAAGCCTCTATTACCCCCGCGGCCTCTTACTCAGAGGTTCCTCACCAGCAATAAGAGAGTTTTAACCAGTTTTATCCCATCGACTTGTCTGAGCTTTTAAAAACAGTATCACAAATGAGAGTGTCCTCCAGCCCACTTGATGTAATACCTACAAAGTTTTTACTGAAAGTAATAGATTCTGTTGGGCCCCATTTGATCTCTGTTTTCAACAGCTCCCTATCTACTGGTTGTGTCCCTGATTATTTTAAAACGGCTTGCGTAAATCCGCTTTTAAAGAAACCTGGTTTAGATCCCTCCCTCCCACATAATTTTAGACCAATTTCAAAACTGCCTTTTATTGCAAAGATTCTAGAAAGAATTGTGTCCAAACAGCTGCTCACTGTACTGGAAAATAACAAAATATTTGAAAAGTTTCAGTCTGGTTTCAGGAAGTACCACAGCACTGAGACTGCCCTGCTTAAAGTCACCAATGCCCTTTTAATGTCTGCTGATGAAGGCATGTGCTCAGTGTTGGTACTCCTGGACCTTAGCGCTGCTTTTGACACCATTGATCACAACATCATGTTAGACAGACTGAGGCACTGGGTGGGGATCTCTGGTACTGCCCTAGAATGGTTTTCATCCTACCTGTCAAATAGGAAGTTTTGCGTGTCTGTAAGCAATTATGTGTCTTCGTTCTGTCCAGTTAAATATGGTGTGCCTCAGGGGTCGGTCTTAGGACCCATTTTGTTTTCCTTGGTTCTGCTTCCCCTTGGACATATTATCCATAAACATGGCATTTCTTTTCATATTTATGCTGATGACACACAAATATACTTGCCCGTCAGATCCACAGACCCTGGAATGCTGAGTTCACTTAACAACTGCCTTTGTGAAGTTAAAAAATGGATGTCAAATAATTTCCTCCAGCTGAACTCAGACAAAACAGAAATCCTGGTCATCGGGTCCCAGCAGATGGCAGTAAATCACATTAAGCCTGTGGCAAAGAACCTTGGTGTTTGGTTTGATAGTAATTTAAATTTCGAGCAGCACACCACAAAAAGCTTGTTCAATCATGTTTTTATCAAAAATTTGATCTCTATTAACTTTTAAGGACACCGAGACCATTTTACACGCCTTCATCTCATCACGCCTGGATTATTGTAACAGCCTTTTCACATGTTTAACCCTAAAGTCTACTGATCGACTCCAGACTGTCCAGAACTCAGCTGCCAGGCTTTTAACCAGAACAAAGAAATATGACCACATTACTCCTATTTTAGCTTCATTACACTGGCTCCCAGTATGTTTTAGAATTGACTTTAAAATTCTATTGCTCACTTTTAAAGCTCTTCATGGCCTCTCGCCTTGTTATATTTCTGAACTTTTAGTCCCATACACACCAGCACGTAACTTGAGATCCTCGGGCAGACGTCTGTTGTCTGTTCCAGAGTCTCGACTGAAAACTAAAGGGGACAGAGCGTTTGCTATCAGGGCCCCGAGGCTCTGGAACAGCCTGCCCGAGGAAATCAGGTCAGCTGAGTCAGTGAACTCTTTTAAGTCTCTTCTTAAAACCTACTTTTATAGGAGAGCCTTTCCCGATCTTATTTGACTTTATTTTATCCCTTTTATTTTATTCTATTTTACTAGTTTTATATTTGTCTTAAACATGTATTTTAGTCTATTCAATGTTTTCATGCTTTTATCTTGTATTGTTTTTGTATTATTGTCTTTTGGGTATTATTGTCTTTACACTTGTTAAAGCACTTTGTAACTTGTTTTTGTGCTCTACAAATAAAGATTATTATCATCACTATTGGCCAAAAAAAACCTTGTTGCAACCTTTGTATCCTAAAACAACTCAGTTATCAGTAAAACACATTTTCTGAGATAACAAAGCCATGACTTAAATTTTTTAAACCGCTCAATATAAAATATGAAAATGTTTCACTCACCATCACAGAAAGGTAGAAACCCCAACAGGAGAAAGAAGCACAGTGTAAAACAATCCATCACTTCGTGTGGCTGAGTGTAACTAAGGCATATTTATACATGCATATAAGCATCACAGATGCACACACACACCCACATGCACACGCCTGACAAGAATAATCGCATTGTCTAGAAAAAAGTCCCTTGTCTTCACAGAATACTATCATGTTACAGAAGTTCTGTACAGTAATATTTTTCTTTCTGTTATGATTAGACGTTTTCCAGTCCTACAGGTTACACATTCAGACTCTAGACATGTCAGGAATGCTTTCGTACTACACTTGAGACCAAAATGACTAGACTAATGGCGACACAGATTTAACCACGGTGCATGTTTATTAGAAGAGTGAAATTTCAATAGCACTGACATTCAAATACACATTGTGACCATGTGCAAGCAACGTTTATTGCACATGGTGATAAATAATGAATTTGTGGTCATGCATTATTGCATGCATATATTATTATCATTTAAACACATTGTATGTTTTGTTTCACAATAACATGGCCATTACTTTGTAATATAGGCATGCAGTAGATGTAAGAATAGCACTTTTGTCTAAATAGTATGCATGGAAAGGATGCATGCAGTAAAGTCTGATACACAGTTTTTCATGAAAAAGCAAGTAACTTTAAAAAAATACATCTGAAAGGTAGACATCCAGTTTTTGAATCAAGGCAAATTGGCAGAATAATATAGGTGCAGTAGGGAAGTCTTTTTACTACGATATACATTTCAAATAACAGCAAGAAGTTTTCAATGTCCCGTATGTATGGTCCTGAAAAGCTGGAGTGACTGTGAAGAAAACTGGCCATCATTGTCACTGGTCATGTTGATGCCAAGTCATGTTTGGCGGCGCAGGTTTGGGAGAACCTGTCTTGTCTAAAGATGAAACAAAATCTGCATTAACCTCTTAACAACCGCCCACGGGCCGTCAGGTCCTGGCTGCAGCTTTCGGTATGTGCACACAGCTGATATGTTAACTTTATACTCATGACACACCGTTTGAAAGCTAAAATCCTCGCGATTCGACGAATGCCAACCATTTGAAGATACAATCACCACAGTGGGTACAATCAGTGCTTCTGTCAGACCAACCAGTACAAGCAAAATTGATGCAATTCACCTATGAAGCCTCATAGTAATCCACCGATCAATTATATTCCAACAAAAACGGTCTTGTTACGTTGTCAAAGGTCCAGATGATCCAATCCAATAAAAATATTTAGCCCAAAACACATTATTCCATCAATAAATCCCCAGGGACTGCTGCTGCATCGTTTCATATTTGCTGGCAGACATGGCTTGTTTGTCATTATAACCATAATAACTCCGATTTGAATGTAAACAACTATGATAACTTGTATTGAAATTAGCCGCTGAACTCTAACCTTTCAAGTGACACTAAATCCGAAATCTGACCCAATAAGAGCTCACATGTCCCTTTCACAACCTTCAATAGCCAACAAGAGCCCGCGCTGTATGGGGTCAGCCCCTATTATTTTGTAGGTAGGCTGAGCCAATTGCAAGCAATTGTGCCGAGGACTGGCACTTCGTGTAGCCAATAAAAATCTGAAAATAACGATATCCAACTTTAAGTAGGAAGTTCATGATCTACCAGCAAAAAAACACATCTGCGTTGAGCTACCCCATAGGAAAGCAAAATCCAAGATGAGATCTCATAGTTGTTTCCTTTTCTCCTAGAAACAAATGAGTTGCTTTTAATACCAAGGTGAGACCAAAGGCCTTTTCTCCCATTTCTCAAATTCATCTCAGGAGAAACAACCATATAAAATCTCATTTATGTCTGACTCTGATCAAAACAAGAGATCTCTAACTGATCTTAAATAAGTCTAATTTAAGTCTCCTACATTGGACCATGAGATCAGAGAAACAGCTCAAAGAAAACTCATGCTGGGTACACACCACAAGATAATCGGGTTGATTTTGGGCCGATTTCCCCTCTTCCGACAATCCTAGCTATGTCCCGATTATCTTGATGGCTCTACAGATTATCTTATCAGATTCTCCCTTGGTGTGAGGTGTGTTAAGAGTGTCCGAACCTGATCGGAAGAACGTCGGAGGCGCCCCGAACGATCAGAAATCCTGATGTATGGGGGGAGCGAGATGATTGAAGACGGAAGCATAAGAAACACAGTCATGGCGCAGCACAAGGTGAAATTAATGTGGACAGCAGAGATGGAGGATCAGCTTGTAGATTTGTGGCAACAGCACGAATGTTTGTTCAACGTCGCAATTTCTTCCTGCATATCGTCCGCCATGCATACTCTCAAGTCTTCTCAAATATGTCTCAGTTTTCTCATATTGGCCTCAGGAGCAAAAACTCATCTCTGTCAAAACAAGAGAGCTCTACAGTATCAGGTTTGTCTTAGTGACCCCACTTAGGGGTTATTTTACTCAATTACTTTACTTACATCATTCTTTTTATGGGGGTTTGTACTTTTACTCCCCTTAATTTCAAATCCTTATTGTATTTATTGTTAATTATTTATTACAAGTTACTGAGAAAAATAAAATAAATTTTGATATTGAAAATAATGCACTTTCAAATGTCATGCGTCCCAATTGGTTAAGGTAGTCACAGCCAGCATAACTGGAACACCCAATATTTTGACATGATGTTTAGAGATTAATTCATTAATGACTGAATGCACCCAAGAACTGATACACAACAAGTATCTGTCGTACAGAATAAGCACTTTTTCTTTTGATACTTCAATATATTCACTATGAAATACTTTCATACCTCCCAGTAGTCCCATAGTCCCAGCTATAGTTGTCTGCATGCATTTATTAGCAAGCATTTTCAAGCGGAAATGAAAAATATATTAGCCCAAAACCATGCATATACCCCAAATGGTTCAAGAACTACATTCAGTTTTCTTTGGATATGCCGTGAATAGGCGTTTTGCATGAATTTTACAGGAATGTTAAGAGGTTAATTCTGTCTCTTATAATTTTATAAGGTGAATATATTGTCCATGTGGAGATTTGTTTTAAACTGCCACAGTAATGTTTCTAAAAATGGTCAAAACCTCTACAGGGTATTATTTAAGTGTCATGTTTCATCCTCACATCCATCTGATCTGATTCACACTCTCCAGCTGTCTCCAAACTCTTGAACGCTCTTTGCTGTGGTACCATCTGTCTTCACCCAGTCATTCCACTTCAAACCGTCAAAGTTCCCACACAGACCCCCCACCGTCCTTTTATATATGTTTGGTAGAATGATCTCTGCAGGAGCAAAATCAAGAAAACAATGTCACTTAATTCACTGCATAACTCTCTCCTGGAGAAAGTAAATACTTTGGGATGGAATAATATGTTGTGATTTAAGTTCTGGTTCTACTGCTAATTCTATTTGACTTGTTTAGGTGAAAATTAGTTACCTGTTGTGTGTCCACTGAACACCACTGAGAGGCCAAAATCAGTCTTCAGGTAGATGCGAGAGGACTGCTCCCAGATTTTTAGACCAGCAGTGGGTGAGACGGGAGTATCAGTTATCGTTCCGTCCACCTGGAGGGAGACAGAGAGACTGAAATATCTTGACAAATATTGGATGGATTGCCATGAATTTTGAGTTCAAATAACTCTGGCAATCCCTAGCCCCTCTCAGGGGCATTTCCAGGCTCTTGAAACATTGGGGGCTTTGAACACTTAATTTCCTGCATTCTAGTGAATTTTCTGCACTGATTTATTGAGGAAATGTCTTTATTTATATAAAAGGAAACACAAAATTCAGGTGGCAATAAAAAAAAAAAAGTGTAATATAGTGCAGTAAAGCTCTCAGGCATTCTGTATTGTCAGATATGTTTCTCCTGTAGATCAACTGTTCTCATTTAATTTAATCCCTGCTGAATCTACATACATGCAGGCATGACTCAAGTAGTCTTTTTAAATGTGCATGTGGCGCCTTTTCACCTCAATGATAAATTAGCTTAATTAATTTGAATTCAGTTAGAAAAGCACTTTACAGGTTCAGTGTGTAAGTTTTAGTGACACTTAGTGGTGAAGGTTGCGAATTGCACGCCTATCCAAGTGAGTTGGATAGCTGCGGTGCCTGAGACAGGACAAAGATGTCATTTATGAGATAGCAGAGTTGCTAGTCAAGAATTAGGAGGAAGAAGGTAACTAGTCCTACTCTGCTGAAATATAGCAGAATCCACTGCATCCGCTGTCTGACAGCATGTTAGTTTCAATAAGAGGGCATGTTTTAGCAGCACTGTAGAAGGTGTGACAACAAGCCTGACAATATTTAAATATGTAGTGAAAGCAAAATACTTTTCTAAGCCTAAATCTAAGATACGGAGTCTAGTTTATTTATCGGTAGGATTATCGAGAGGAACTTGAATAGTTACAATTAGTGAACAAACATCATCAAACAAACAATATGTGGAAGCTCACAAATGCAGCATCCAAAATACAACAGAGTAAAAAAACGTTTGTACAAAAATACAGTGACTGAAAAGAGTTGGGAAGCACAGGAGCGATTGTTTATCTCCAGAGCTGAAGTCAAAGCTAATTTTGGGGCTAACCTCCTTCACTTTATTCAACAGTTGGCAGCAACACACATGAGCTTCTCTTTAGTTCTGAGAAGCTGCAGTCTTTATTCACCAGCCACTGTAACTTCTACTGTACATTTGCTGCTGAACAAGCCTTATTGCTGACCCGTTTCTCTCTATTCACCGGGGCTTCGTTCACACTGGTTCACACACGCAGTAAAATGTGAAGCTTAGCTGCTGATCTGAGCTTCCGTGCTGTTACCGTTTCATTACCAATAATATTCATCATCTGTCTCAGGAAGGTAATGACACATTTCTTCTCTAACAGAGGCTGGAGAAGAACTACATTACAAATCCAACTACATATTTTTTCTACCAGCGCAGTAAAAGTTTAGCTGGCTGATCTGAGCATCGATGCTGGAAGCTACAGTTTTATTGCCAGTTAGTGATCAGCTGATTGTCTCACGAACATAACTGACAAAGCCAAAACAGAGGGCTGGAGAGAGAGTAACTACATGAAATTAATCCAACTATATACTGTATTTTACACCAGTTTCTTTCATTTTTTTCACGTTCGTTTGAGTCAGTTTGACAGCCTCAATACAACCTTCAAATGAATAATGCAACTGCTATACTGTCTGCTTCTTTCTGAGATCGCTTTTTCCAACAAATTTGACAATACTTCTCCAGGGAGTGCAGTAATAGACAGTGGCAGCGCCGTCAGGATGTTGGACTTAGCAACAATAACTAAGGGGGGCGGGGCTTAGCGATGTGTCAATTTTGCTAGGGACAATTCAGTAGTTGCTTACATGCCACATTATGTGAACATCAAACAAAATGTATCAAAATTATTGCAAGTAGCCTCCGCTCTTTAAATACCTGCAAGATAGGTAGCGTCTTGAAGATTTTTGCATATTAATATGGAAAATATTTTTGTTGCCGTTGTTGAGTTACATTCAGGGCTACAGTCAAAACATCTGGAGCTAAAGCCCCGGAAAAATAACCTAGCGACGCCGATGTGCCCTCCCATGATGTCAGATTTTTAATTTGTAATGTATGACCTTAAGCCTGCAAAACTGACTCCCTTCAGCCTCAGCCATGCTTTATGTTAAACTAATTTGCAAATGTTAGCAAATGCTACCATGCTAACACCCTAAACTAAAATGCGAACATTGTAAACATTATACCTTGTCAACATTAGCATGTAAGTTGTCATTGTGAGCATGTTAACATGCTGATGTTAGCACTTAACTCAGAGCTTCTCTGTGCGTAAGTACAACCTCACTAACATGGCTGTAGACTCTTACTTCAGTGTGACTATGTTTCAAATTCTCAGACATTGTTGAAAGTTTATGATCTAGTGGTAATACTGAAAGCCATTTTCACTCCCCTAAAAGTAACTATCACCACTGTAATGTCAGTCTTTTTTTTTGATTTGGGCTCCTTTATACATTAATATAATAACATAGACTTTTAGAAAATGTAAGCTATACCAATTTAAAAAAAATTGACAGTTGCTGCTTAAATATGCTCAAGCTTGAGTGTCAGTGTTGTACAATATATAATATACTGTTTGCCAGCCCTCTTAGAATTACATATGACCGAGCATAATTTAGTGCACAGCAAAACATCTGCTTCACTGCTGTCGTAACACCTGAAAGAGAAAATGCGAAGGACTGCTGGTTATTTCCCTCAGCGCTTTCACAAATGTTTGTGGGCGGGCAAAAATTTTATATTATCCCATGACCAAATATTGTTTCTGCTGAAAAGGCGCCACAGGAAAATGAGATGAAGGCAATATGTTGTTAAAAATGTCCTTGATACTTACAACCAGTGTCCGATTCTCCTTGAACTCCACAGTGTGATTGTACACTCTGATCTTAAGCTCTTGTAATCTGTGGTGTTCCTTATGAACTTCACTATGGGCATCACGTTTGTCATCATCATCATCTTCATCATCATCACCATCATCATCATCATCATCACCATCAACATTATCGTCATCTTCATCGTCATCTTCATCTTCCTCTCTGCCTCTGTGTTCTACTTCACCACTACTGTCATCATGATGCGGACTATCATCGTCATCATGTGTGGTGTGTGTATTGATGCCCTCGATGTAGACATCTGGAAGGTTACTTGGCAAGTTGTTGGTCCTGACCAGCACATACGAGTGCTCACCCTCAAAGCCATACGTCATTTTATCAAAGGTTCTGTATTCAGGGTCTCCCTTGATAGTGCACTTACTGAAACCTGTGGAGCAACAAGTGTAGAGAAAATTTGTAATTTAGTGAGTAAGATGTAACATCATTTGGATACATCAAAGAGTTAAATGTTGACCTCTACATCACCTGTAGACTGGCAGTAATAATGGCCCTCCTTGTTTTGAAGGCAGACAGCATTTCGTTTGCACTCATATTTGTCATCGCAGTCAATCTTCCCCACGCCCTTGTTTTTCTTACATTTACATTTCTCACTGCAGTGATTGGTGTACCACACTTTATTGAACTGACAAGAAAGAGAGTGTCATCATACTGCCCATACCATATCCACATTCACCATTTTTCATAAAGTATTCTTAAGTATTTGAAAATCAATTAAGACTTGTGCCATTGATGAAGAGTCATTCTGAACTGTCACTCACCTGATGTTTGGTGCCACTCCCATCCACACATCCACAGTGTTGTATCGGCACACAAACCATCAATTTCTGCACAAAGCCTTCATCACATACACATCCCTTCACACAACCCATATTGTCCCTGCAGTTTGGTGGACCGTTCAAGTATGTACAGGTTGGACTGCAGGCAGGCATACAAGTGGTGTAGTGACTGTTCTTTGGGCAAGAGGGTGCTAGAGAAAGACAGAATGGTAGAGACAGCCTGTAAAGTTATACTTCATAGGCAGTCATAGAGAGTCTCTAAATTGCGTCCACGTTTCCCTCACTTGCGTCTTTTCCTTGCGTCTTAGTCCCGACCACCGGGGATGCATGGAGAGTAGGGGTGGGAGAAATAATTGATTCTTAGATGCATCGCGATGCGGATCGATTAACAAATGTCTAAAAATCGATTATTTAAAGGTTTAATGTTAACAAATGAACATAATGTTGATGGAACGCAAAAGGCGGAACCAAAGAAAGTGCAGCGCCTGGACCGTCTGTGGAGCGCACACAACAGAGAGACCAGCGTTCCCCCTGTATTCAGCACACCACCGCTGCGGAATGAATAACCACCCTACTAAAATGTCACACAACCATTACTATTAGTGCGCAAGTAATGATTTTAACTCGCATACTGCAAACATGGTAACACTCGACGCTGAGCAGCTCTCTGCGTATCCTGTGTGTGAGGCAAGAGCAAGTGAGAGAGAGAGAGAGCGGCAGAACGGTGAAAGTTAGCGGTGAAAAATATTAGCAGTAATTTTCATTCTGGTAGTAAACGTGCAGCGTAGGTCACTGTGTGTCCGTTAATAAAAGTCTGTAGTTTCCCCAATGGCTGGAAAAGTGAAGGCTGTTAGCGCTAGCTAATATCACCCGTGTACAAGGGCTTGCTCTTTCCCCCACACCAGATTTTTGGGGACAGAGCCTTCAGCGTCACAGCCCTCACCCTCTGAACTCATCCCCACAGAGATCTGAAATGCTCCCCGTTTGGACACTTTCAAAAATCTACTAAAAACCCAGCTCTTTACCCGGGCATTCAATCCTGAACGACTTTTTGTTGTTCTGTCACTGTAACAATGTTTAAATATTAATTATCAGCTGTATGTCATTACTAACTTACTAAACTGGTGTACAGCTCTGTCCTGTACACATACTGTACGTCCCTTCTTCCAAAGTGTCACGTGAAGCGACGTCTATTTGTGATAGATCATAGCTGGATCAGCTGCTAGTCGGCTTAAACAGCTGTAGAGACTTTTGATGGAGTTTGGGTGTGCACACATGCATTGTGTTGGTATTAATAAATTATCACAGTTATCAGTGCAGAGCAGCATGATTCTCTCTCTGTAGCTGTTACCTGTTTAACAAACACCTGCACATGAATAATTATATCGTACTGTATGTCCTGCTCAGGCACAGTTCTTTATATTATCTGCATTTATATTTATTGATTCTGATTGTGAATTTGTTATTGAATTACCCAGAATGTGATCATGGTGTCTTGGGATTTATTAGGCTAAATGTTTAGGGGAAATTGAAATGAACTCATATGAAAGTAGACACTCAGTTTTCGGCTTTCCGTTTATTTCTTCTTCTGATATCCTTTAACACAACTCCATACATTTTATTTGCAAGTCACATCACTCATAACCTCGATCACTGCGTTCCATCATGTCAATCCAATGATATTTTTTTTAGTGCAGCAGCTTCATTCATTCTTTCATCAGCTGATTTTACTTGTGGAGTAAAACCGCCAGCTGCTTTCATCAGATGCGGTAGGTGAGATTGGCTGGATGAGCGGATTTATTTTCCTTTGCTTGCATCATTAGAGTTGTTTTATTTTTGTTTTATTGTCTATTTGGACTTAACACAGGAATGACCAGCCTCACATGTGAATGAATAGAAATGAAACTTATTAATGTAAAACGTGTTTCTTACTGACAGACTCTGTCTTTAATTGTCTCCATTATAAAAGTAGATGGGAGAAATAAAAGAAAGAAATCTTTCTAATAAATGAAGAATGTTGTGTGTGGGGCTTTTGTTGTTCAGATCTACAATGACAAAACAAAACAAATCAAATATAGCCCAAGTGTAAGCCTAAGTAAATATAGCCTTTGCAGTGATACACTTGAGTTTAATGCTATCTGTCCTGATGTATCAGATCAGTCCAATCAGCTGCAGCATCCAATCAATATAACGGCTACCCAATAAGGGGGCGTGTCGGTCAGTAAAAGATGAAAGATGCACTGGTGTATCCTCGCTCATAGCTCCTCAGAGATCAATCCTCTATCATCGCCCCTTGGAGCGCAAATAAGAGCTTTGGGACAGTCTGCAAGATGGCGGAGCGGAACAACTTCGGGTTCAAGCAAGGATCGAGGAGTGAGGAAACGACAAATAAGAGACTTAAGAAGCGCCCATAGGCTTAAAATGACAAACAAAAATGAATATGCCATTGTTATTTTTTCTTAGCGTATCTTATCTCACAGGTGAGTTTTGCCACAGGTGCCAAAAAGTGAGGTGTGTGATGTACATGAAGTATACATTATAGGAAACCTGTAAACATGTTTAAAAATGGAAACATAGGAAAATGCAAATTTATAACTTACTTGGTACAGGTGGGGTTGGTGCTTGTCGTCTAACTGTCGTCGGCGGCTGTGGTTCAGTTGAAGGTTGTGGTCTTGTTGTGGTTGGTGTCTGTGGCTGAGCCATGGTTGGTGGGCTAGTTGTTGTTTGTGGCTGAGTTTCAGTTGGAGGTTTTGATCCAGCTTTGGTTGGATGTTGTGGTCTGTCTGTCATTGTAGCTGTGATTTTTTGTTCATTTGTTGATGTAGCTGGTTGTGCTGGTCTTGCTGTTGTTCGGGTTGTTTCTGTAATTATAGGTTGCTCTGAAGTTTTAAGTCCTGGGTGCTCTGTTGTTGGTGGGTGAGTTCTAGTTGTAGTTTGGGATCGAGTTGTGGCTGTCATTGATCTTGATGTTATTGGAAGCAGTGGTCCTGTTGTTCGGACATCAGGATTTATAGTTTTGGGGGTTACAGTTGTTACTTGCCTTGTAGGGGTTTGGATATCACAATCAGTTGTGGCTGCTGTTGTTGTGACAGTCGTTGCTGGTGGTGTTTGTTGTTGTGCAGCGGTTGAGCTATTCACTGGAGGAATCTCTGGACCTGTTGCAACTGGATTGAAGGTTGTGGGAGGAGGGGTTGTTGGCTTAGACAGGTCTAAAACCGCATTTCAAGGTTGATAAACAATGATTTTTTGGTTATGATGTGTATGAACTAAACTGATGGTCAGTAGGAGGACAGAATTACCTCTGCAGTGCCCATGATGAAGAGATACATCATCTATGGCCACATCAGACTGATTATTGGAACCTCTTCGCCCCTCAAAAATGATCTAAAATTAATTGAACAGGTTAGGTCCATACAGTATCTGAAATAGCGTACAGATTCAGTAGGTTCCATTACACTCATTTATTGTTGCAGATAGTACACAGTTTTGCTCTGCAGGTTTCTAACATTAGAGGTCAGGAGAAAAAACATCTTAGGTCAGAAACTCACCTGGAAAGCTCCAGTTGTTGTCAAGTCCACCTGAGCCAGGTGCCACATATTTCCTTGATCATTCCTCTTCCACCAAACTGCGTCAGCTACTTTGTTTTGGAGCAAGTAGACATGGAGGCCCATTGTATCGGCTGAGCCATACATATGATACCAGAACTGCAGACACTGAGGACCAGAGTTAGAACACTCAGAGCTGATGAGTCGAGCTGTGTCTCCATATGTCACGCTGCTGGCTTCGATGTAAAGATAGTGGCCATCTGATTAAGGACATAAGAGTTAAGTAAGTTAGAATAACACACAGCAAGGTTTTTGGATAATGTTATTTCTTATTTAATAATACATTCAAGGCATGTGTAGCTGTGTAGCAAGTGCAGCTGAAATTGATTGCTAAGTGTTGACAATGCAAATGTCTTTTAAACACTGAAATACAAAAAATGACCTGATTCAAAAACAGCAGCTCTACTGTCACATACCCAGGAGGCTAAAGGAAAAATATTGTACCTTGATGAAATACAATACATCAGGAACTCTTGACATGAGACCACGTGTCTATTATTCTGATTTGACATGGAAGAACTGCTTCAACAATGGGGTTTTTGCTAGTTATGTGTGACTGTGATGACAAACATCACATGGTATTGGATGAAAAATGAAAAAAAAAAGAGTGTGTTTTATTTTTTTGTAACAGCTCTACACCAATTTTACTTGGCTTGTGTCAGAAGGCTAATTACATCCTGTGGTGTGATCTGAAGAAGGCCCAGTCATCTTAGTAGGAGTGGAGCCACTATGCCTTGTCCAGTCAAAAACATCAGTAGGAAGTTGACTCCACTGACATAGATCCTGTTCAAAATCACAGTGGATCTGGCACACTGGAAACAAAAGTCAGTAATATCTTTAGAGAGTAATTTAGCAAATCACAAAAACTGGATTTCTAAAAAATGTATAGTGGAAGTCCAATACCAGGGATTTACAGGTGCTGCTGTGGAAAAAGCACTGTACCTGGGTGTGGTGGTAGTCTGTTGTCTGGAGCTTCAGTAACATTATTAATTAAGTCAGTTGTTGCTTTCACTGCGGGAGGTATGGTGATATTTAGTATGGGAGGCTGAGCAGTAAAAGGGAGCTGAGCAGTAACAGTGACTGGAGGAGGCTCTGGAGCCGCAGTAGTTGGCACAGGGACACTTGGAGGAGCAGTGGTGTTTCCATCAGGTTTAGGAGGACTTGTCACAACACGACTCAGATCTGCAACAGTGAAGGAGTTTTGTTAATGATTGCAAATATTTTTAAACATAATCAAACTACACAGCCTTGAAATAAGCAGCGTTCCTTTAAGTTTTGTGGTTCATATTCTATGTGCATGTTTCTTACCAGAGCATGGGCCACGATAAAGCTTTACATCATCTATGGCCACATCGGACTCTTCGTTCGACCCTCTACGACCCTCAATGATTATCTGAGTTAGAAAAAATTGGTATGTTATTATTTTCAAGATGTCTCTCATTAATATTCTACCATTACAAAATCATTGGCTGATAATCTTTAAATCATCTGATTGCCTGGTGGAAAATGTCTGACCTGGAAAGCTCCAGTTGTTGTCAAGTCCACCTGAGCCAGTTGCCACATGTTTCCTTGATCATTCCTCTTCCACCAAACTGCGTCAGCTACTTTGTTTTGGAGCAAGTAGACATGGAGGCCCATTGTATCTGCTGAGCCGTACATATGATACCAGAACTGCAGACACTGAGGACCAGAGTTAGAACACTCAGAGCTGATGAGTCGAGCTGTGTCTCCATATGTCACGCTGCTGGCCTCAATGTAAAGATAGTGGCCATCTAGAAAAGATGGATACATTTTCCATGGTGAGGCAAACTTTATCCATACCTCTGTATATTATCCGTCACCATTTATAATTTTACATAGAGTATCTTACCACCAGTGTGGTCAGCAGAGGGCCCAGTCATAAAGGTGGGGGTGGAACCACTTTGCCATGTCCAGTCAAAAGCATCTGTGATCATCTGATTCCAGCTGCAAAGGTTGCTGTCGAAGCTACAGTCAATATTGCAGACTACAAGGGAAACGTTTGAAAAAAATAACATGAACTTAGCATTGAGGCCCTTGTGCAACTTACTGAAAATTTTGACAATATGTAACTTCAATAACCATTAATAATTGCACATTCAGTTTTTATGGGACAAATGTTAATTAGTAACCACACTTAAGCTTTCTGATCCAGAAACAAGTGGCCCATGAAATTATACTTCCTGTGTACTAACCTGGGTGTGAGGGGAAGACTTCCGCAGTTGTAGAAGGAAGCTCAGTTCTACTAATCAGGCCAGGTAAGCGACCTAAAGGAGGTGATGTTGTTTAAACCCTCATATCTCTGGTATGGTCATAATTTTAGATCTTAATTTATTTGCACCATTGTAGGAATGTAATAATTAAATTAAATTTTAACTTTAATTAAATTTATAATGTTTTATTGTCCTTTTTTAGAAGTGAATGTTACCTGAGCATGAGCCAAAGTGAATGGAAATGTCATCTATGGCCACATCTGATTGAGCATTAGAGCCTCGAATTCCCTCCACTATGATCTGTGGCAATAAGAACATGCTATGTGTCACTGTATAGAATAAGAGCATTAGTCTTTGCAAGAAAAGTGTGCAACATTCAACCAGCATCTTTTAGGTCCATATAGTATCTGTATATGGTGCCAGACTTACTTGGAATGGACCTGACACTCTGATGTCAACCAATCCTTGATGCCATTCTGGTCCCTGGTTGTTCATCATGGACCAGAGCTTGATCGCTTTATTGTCTTTGAGCAGGAAGATATTGAGGGCCATGGCTGTGGCTGAACCATACATATGGTACCAGAACTGCAGGCAGAGTGGGCCATTATAATGGCAGGTTGAGCTCAACATACGGGCTGGATCTCCATAAGTTACACTGTTTGCCTCAATAAACATGTAGAAACCAGCTGGAGAAATGAAAAGAGCACAAAAAAACATGAATATTGAAAAACTAATGCAGCAACACAACAGATGTAGTGTGGCTGGGCACAGGGTTTTACCTCCAGTGGTGTGGTCTTGGTTTGGGCCAGTTTGGTCTGATGGGGTGGGTCCCGAATTTCTTGTCCAATCAAAACTGTCCTGTATGAGCTGCTCCCACCCACAAAGATTTTTTTCAAAGTCGCAATTCATAGGACATACTATGAAAAAGCATATTAACACAACGGAAATGAAAAGTATTACAAGCTAATTATATGTAGGAACATTTACATTCTGAAAAGTATAATTATGTTTTAAAATAAGTTATCTGGAAATAAATATTATATCATCCAGTCTGTAGACAATTACACCAAGGTTACTCAAATGTAATCAAATACATTTCTATATTAAATGTTTGTAAATCTAGTTTAGTCTATTTTTTGAGGCAGGCATAGTCAAATTATTAATTATAAATTGTATTATGCCACGGATTATCTAAACCAGTAACAAATAAACCTTCACAACCCTGAGTGCTCTTACAAGTCTGATCTGTTGTTGGAGAGGTAGGAGTTGGAGTTGTTGGAAGAGATGCAGTGGTTGTGGGGTCAGCTGAAATGGGAACAAAAACAAAACAAAAAACCAAACAAACAAACAAACAAAAAAGGGAGTGAGTTCACCACCTTAGCCTTTTTGGCACCCTAGGATATATTTTGCTTTAGGCCCCTCCCTCTTAAACTTAACTACCTCATTTCTCTTTGCTAATGCTTATGTCAATGACAAAACAAACAAAAAAAGATTCACTCAGGCCTGGCTCTAGGCACTAGCCTAGTATGCAGTCCTGTGTCATAATCAAAATAATGAAACTCAGGAGAAGAGAGTGTGGAAGATCATAGTTGGAGAGAATCAACAAATATGAAGTACAGGACATGCAACATAATTATTTGATCTAATATTTAGTGCTAATAAATCACCAAATTGTATTTTGTTAATCAATCAATCAATCAATCAATCAATATCATTACACATACAGTAACCATGCTATCCTCATCATCATCATCATCATGTGTGACTCAGCCACTCACCACAGGCTGTGTCTGTCTCCCAGTGGGACAGCTTCACTCCTGCAACCTGGCATGCTGCTGCATAGGACTTGAGAGATTCGCATAGGGTGTGTTGGTCACCACCTGTGGCACAGTAGTCATACACGCAACTACTGAGGAAAATGCTTGGGTGGATGGCTTCATGGCAAGGGTTGAAGGCCTCCCCTAGTAGCGTGTAACACTCTCTGTAGGCCTCATTCTCCTCATTATAATCACAGATTCTGGGATCATTTGGATGGGCAGTACACCTGGAGAAAAGACAATTATAATAAAAATATAGACATTTTGATTTATTGTGCTACTTCAAAATAAGACAAAATAACTTTTGTTAATGGTTGATAATTCATGTATTAATACTTTGCAATTCTTTAACAACCTATTTAATCTCATAAATGAAAAGAAAAGTCGGTTTGTGAGGTTGAGCTTGGTGGATTTCTTCTGCCTACATAATTTGCATTGTGTACACATGTATTCAGCTAGTAATTAGGTAACTAACCGAGCAAATGAGACTGAGAGATTGTGTTCATATTAACGGATTATTACTTTGGTTATTACCGCTTCGTAAACAACAACTACCTCTACACAGAAGACATTTCAAATGTGTCTGTACTTGGGTAGTAGTGGTTTGAGCTAAATGATATTATCAGTGTGCTAACTTGCTCACAGTGACAATGCTAAAATGCTGGTTTAGCAGGTATAATGATTTCCATGTATACCATCTTTGTTTAGTGTGTTAGCATGGTATCCATTGCTAGATAGAGCAGTGTTAATAATTAATTAATAATTAAGTATCAGGTATTAAAATGTCATAACTTCCATTTCATTTGTACTAAAATGTGTGCAGATACCTTGTATAGTAAAATAACTTACTCATTATTGCCTTGCACCCTCCAGCTATCACCAAACTCAAATGGATCAGTAACATTTTGGCCTCCTGGTGTTATGAAGTCATCGTCCTGTTGTTCAGAGTAGGTGCCACACAGTCCACACAGTTCATACTTGTAGCGCTCATCAACCTGCAGGAAGAGTCTGTTCTGCCCATCTATCATCATTCTGAGGCCAAAGGTTGTCTCCAAGATAATATAATGATTCTTTATATTGACCCATGCTGAGCCGTATGTACCACTGGTGGAATATGGGAGTTGGACATGGACATCATTCACCTAAAGAGAGCATAATCCATCGTTTGTAATGACTTTATTCTTGTGAGAAATTAGTTAATTTTTTAATTGTCTTACATAAAACTGTTTTTCCCTTACTAGGATGGTGCAACATATTAGCTACCGAATGGCTGTTCAGGGCAAAGTCAAGTGGCTAAGCTATTAGTTGGTGTATTCTTGTAACCCCCACATGACAAACAAGTGACTTCCTCCAGAGACCTGACACAGAGTAATAATTGACCCCTATAAACATGGGTGTGCTGATACTAAAGTCATTAGCCACTGTCATTAATGAATCACAGCAGATAATACAGAACAATGACCCTCCAAATCCAGTAAATGGGCCACTTGTTTTGACAACAACCTTTGTTACATTCACATGCTGTAAAAGAGTTTGTTATATAGAGTTGTCGAGAACTATGAGGGGTTTTCATTCTTACATAGACATCTCCGCTTTGATTCAAGGTGAGATACAGATCCTCAACCTGAAGAGACACAGCTTCCAGCTTGGAACGGGTGAAGTTCTGAAGAGGAGGGTACATGTTGTGTCCGATCACAGTGAACTGGACTGAGCTTTCTCCTCCGCACGTGGTAGTTAGTGTGTAACTGCAGCCCCCTTGAAAATCGTAAGCCATCTTGTCAAAGGTGATATAGTGTGGATCACCATACACACTGCATGTTGCGGGATTGAAAGGGAAGCAGCCTTTGACCCCATCCTTGACCTTACACACCTCACTGTCTGTACATCGCATTTTGGCACACTGTACGTCATTATTACCCATGCACTGGCAATGCTGCACACACTCTCCTTCCAACAATGTTTCTCCTTTCTGCAGACAAAAGGGATTTGTGATGAATAAATTCTAGCACTGTGGAAGTGAATAGGTGAATATGAAACTGTTCGCTGTTCAGCCACCTCACTTACGTCATAGTGTTTTCCATTATACCAGCACCCACAGTCCTCTGCTGGGACACACTTTCCCCCACTGAGTTTGAAGCCAGAGTCACACTCACATCTTTCCTCACAGCTTCCACAGGAGCCAGCTATTTCCAGGCTGGAGCACACCTCGGGACAGCCATCAGCACATGAGTTATAGTGGCTGTTCTCCCCACACTGAAGGGCTGAGAGTGGTGTCATAGAAGGGAGGAAAGAGGAGAGGACATGACCTTAACTATTCTTATATTATTACTAGGGGTGTGATGATCCACTTAGCTCTCATGCTGATATTGTGAGACACGTTTCACCTCAACGAGAGATTTCATCACGTTTTTTAATGTTGCGAGATGTGTTGACCACACCCCTAATTATTAGTCATTATTTGCCACTATTTCCCTTATTTTTAACAAGAGGAAGAATACAAATGACAGAAGGAAGCAATAAAGCAACATACGGCAGAATGTAGAGTTCCTCCATATGGAAATGGCAACTCCAGCCTCCTGGCAGATATCAGCGTAGACCTGTAATATTTTACATAGCACGGCTGGGTCACCATGACTAGAGCACATGCCAACCATACAGCCCCTGAAGTAGCTCTCTGCCCCCAGAACTGCGAGACAGTCAGAAAATGGCCCAGTACTAGAGAGGAGGCCTCCACAGTACAGTTCACTGGCATACTCCGCCTTCTCCAGCGGGTCACACTGATGAGTTACCAGAATGGTTTCACAGGATGATGTGGTTTGCCTGGTCTGCCAGCTCTGCCAGCCCTCGGCGAAAGCTGTAGCCTCTTGGGCATTCGTACCATCTGGCTTTCTGAAGTTATCTCCTCTGGGGTGGTTGAATTTTCCACACAAGCCACAGACATTATCAGCGTAAGTGGATGGCAAGTTGACTTGGACAGCACCAGTGTTGTCATATGTGACAGAAAGGCCAAAGTTGGCTCCCAGTTCAACAGCAGCGGGGTTGCTCTTGATGTAGACAGTGCCATTGCTGAGGCTGAGTGGAAGCCTCCTCCAGACCCCATTAACCTAAAGAAGAGTGTTACTTTTAGACTTCAGTTTTAGTCATCAGCATATAAACTCACTGCATCTGACAGTTAGCATAAATAGCAGCACTCTGAAGTATATGTTTTCTAGCCTTGATAAAATTGATAATTTCTCTAGGAATTCCAGGTCACCGTTGGGAAAGTAATAGATTGCAGCAGCAAGGTAATATTTACTTTATTTTAATTTTTTACTTCCTGTTATGCTATCACTTTGCAATTTTCTAAGCATTCGACTAGAAACTGGAGGTTGGCTGAGTGATCACAAACAGCTGGGTCTGTGCACATAATAGAGAGATATAGAGTATATAATTCTGCTGCACTTGCACTTGGCATTCATTCAAAGCTGGTGGTCTCCCTCTTTAAATGGAACAGGGTGGCATGCTTAGACCAAGACATTAGCATTGGACGACAGTGCGTGTGCCACCCTAAAATTCTTTCTCACTTTAAAGTAACTCACCACAACCCGGTGTGTCTGCCTTTTCAGCAAGGACACTCTATAGTTTCCCATGTACACGATAACCTGTTGAATGGTTGGCAGAGATGAGTTCCCATTCTGCTCATTGACAACTTCCACACTGAACATGGGCAGGGCTTCAGAGGGTGAGCAGGTCTTAGCCAGTATGTAGGTGCAGGGGCCCGTGATGCGGAACAGCACTCCATCAAAAGTGCTGTATTCTGTGTGACTGTGTATAGTGCACGTCTGAGAGGCGAAAATGCCACCGGAGCTTCCTCTGTGAGGACCACAGATTTGGCCCTTTGGGCACGGAGAGGGAGAGCATGAGAGCTGGCCAACAGAACAGAGGCAGCGGGTGGACTCATCTGTCCAGAACTCTGTGTTAGATTCACACTGGTGTCCTGTGGGGGATATGAACGAGTAAACAATCACTTTATAATCACAGCACCATCCGGCTAGAGATAACTGATTAGTAACATTAATGAATAATTATGTTCAGTAATACTGTATGCACTATACTTAATCAACCTATCATTCATGTGAGTGATACTTGGATTAATGTTTTCTCAATTGTCATTAATCAAAAGAATGAACACTCCTACTGCTTTACTAAAGCTTATGCAACATGAAAAATTAAAGGAGGCTTAGTAAAAGCATATTTACCACAGGAGCCTCTCCTTACACCTATCCGGTTAAATGTGACCTGTTTCTGAATGGACATTGCTTGAATCTCTTCGAATACAACCTGGTATAAAAAGAGATAATCTATTAAAATGTATACACAATGTTACAGTTGAATTCCTCAAGTTCAGTTACAGATATGTGGCTTTAAATTGTACCTGAGTCGTTGGCTCGATGATGTTCAAAGGGACAAACACTTGTCTCCAGGAATCCCTGGGAAGGGCAGGTGAGGTCCAAATTTCTACCACTCCAACGCTGCTTTTTAGCAGAGCCTGCAGTTCTGACCCATTAGCTGCAACCGGAGCCAGGTACCAAAACTCTAAACAGGCATCACCCTCCAACCCAAGTGGACCACTCTCTAAGATAAGCAAATAATACAATTTAATATACTAGATGCTTTCATCCACATACTAGAAAGTGACAATTTGTTTCTAAAGTAAAAATTCAGTGACCTCCGATTGTTTTTAAATCACACAATATAAAGGGTAAAATGTTAGAAATCAGCTTTTATGTTGTATCACAATTTTTTTTTTGCTTTAGAAATAGCAAACCATTCCTTCGTTTTTCTTATTGTAGTGGAAGAAGAAATACATCTGTTGTGGTGCAATTATCATTAAATGCAAAATAGTTTGTAGAGTGTTTTGTGCTAAATTTGAACCTCAAGTGTAGGCCCCCTACTTTTATTGCCCCTGGGAGAACACCAGGCTGTAAAAGGTTATTAGCCTGCTTGAAATCAATTAGTGATATGCGCCACAGCCGCAGCCAATCTGAAGATTAAAACAGAACTGTGGACCAATGTTCCAAATCGCCTCCAGAAGGGTGGGACACAATTAAAGGTTACCTTAGTCAAGTTATCTCTTAAGTGTCAAAATTAACTCATAACTGAACTGAACTGTAACTCGGCTTGATGGCTTTTCATTTCATTATTATATTTAATTAACCCATCGCTGTACTATTGTGCAGAAAATGTCACCACCTATACCTGTTCGTAGTTGGTTCCTGGTCCAGTCGCAAATAAGATTGTTGTGTCTGTCATAGAAACACTGTGTAACATATTCTATGAATGAAAAGAAAGGGGTTAGACATAATAATACGTACAGTATGTATCTAGCTATCTGGCTTATTGTTGTGACAACTTTGTATTCAAGCACTTCTAGCGAAGGAGTATCTACAGGTCACAGTAATTGTAAAACCTCATACCTGAATTTGTCCTCCACTCTGGTAAAGTGACTAACGAAAAGTCATTTTCAGCCCTGAAATAGGAAAACAATGATCACAGATTCCTTTAAAATTAATTATATAAAATATGTGATTGACTTAAAAACAAAATCCCAATACGTTTCCACAAATGCATATGACCAGTATAACAACATTTCCAATAATGTATCAGCAAAAATTTGGTAGTTAAAAGTTGAATTATCTTAACACCCACCTGCACTGATTCTCTGTCTGTGTTAGAAAGAGTAGAGTCACTGTGACCAACAAATCTGTGTGGATGCCTCCAAGCATGGCTGATCCCTTAACGGCAGCTTCTTAGCAGCTCTCTCTTTGATGAGTTGAAGAATGAATGATGAGCAGTAACTGTTGTGGAGCCGTGCTGTGGAACTACAGCTTATGTGACTCTGTAACTGCCAGCACAGAGGTTTGGACCCTTGTGTGTAGTTTTCAGAACAGAGTGGAGGGTTTTTATAGCCCCACCACCTAACCAGGTAACCTCAGCAGTGGGTGGAGACAGACGGCTGGAGTACAGTGTGACATGAAAGAGACTGGGCTAATGGCATAAAAAAATTGTGAAAGTGATAGCAGCAACACAGTTACTGTAAATATAATGTGTGATAGGCAAGGTCAGGGTTTAATGTTTTTAGGTCGTAAAAAGCACTGAGACCAAGGTAAACTAACACTGTACAAATGCTTCTTTAATTCTTTCTTCTGTCTTAATGTGTTAGCAGGTTACTTTTGCTGTTGATACTTTTCCCATACCCAAACACTACAATACTAAAAAGAAAGAAACAGCAACAGTGTTCCCACAATGTAAAACACTTAAAAGCAAATATTATCATGGATGTTTTCTCGTGTCTAAATATGGGATGATAATAATAATTTTTATCAATTACATTTGAAGGAAGTAATAACACCATTAAAATAAAAAACTTACTTGAGGTCCTTGACTTTGACGGTGACATTGTTTTCTCCTCCAGATTGGTGGCTGATGTGTTATACACTATTATTACTTTTATTGCTATACTATTATACAGTATGTAGCTATTAAAGTAGAATGTACACCACAGGTATATCTAATAACTAGTTGTAAAGAAAGCAAATTAAGTATATAATAAATCAGTGGAGAGCAGGAGTGGATGAACCCAGTTAAAGTTTCACTGGTCAACACTACACCTGGCATTGTATTGGTTGGGGTCTTTTGACAGGGTTATTGCACACAAATCAGAGAGCAGAGCAGAAATCTGAGAGAACGTTTCACAAGCGCACAGAATCAGCCTGAGCACAAGGAGAAGGGCTGAAGATGGAGTGCAGGAAATCTGTGCAAACAACAATATATGAATTCAAGCGTGGACTGGCCAACGTTAGACCTAGGCGTTTTCCCGGTGGGCCGCTGGACAACTGGGCAGATAAACCACATAATATTAAAAATAAAGACAAAAACCTGCAGTTGAAAATTGATTTGTATCTGCCTTGATCGACTGACCCAAAGTGTGTGGTTACTGGCCCAGACGGGGATGCAGGGCTGTTTTGATATGATTGGCTATGCCAAACAATCCCACACTCCACATTAGAACATAATGAAATGGTTGAAACATAGACCTAACCTCTAGCATGGATATTTGTGCTTCAAAAATCATTGATTAAAAACATGCACAAATGTGATACTAAAAAGTTGAGGGAGGAAAAAAAGTCGCTTGAGTCAGGTGCAGCAAAGTCTCAAAATTGAGGATGCCGGCAGCCCCAGTACTAGCACTTACATGGGTAAACTAAGTTCCTGCCATTCTAAAATATAAAAAATAACTTAACACATATATGAACTATTCATTGCATTTTTATTTTTTTATTTTTTTTACAACAATCTCTAATAGTGTATTACATTGTATTTTGTTTTTTTACCTTTTCTTGTTTCATTGTATGTAATGGCAGAGTTTAGGGATTAACGTACAACCATAACCATAATCATATGAACATAAATCTATATGTCCAGATATTGTGGCCAAAGTTTGTTAAATAGTTGTTTTTATTTACAAATTTAAAAGTAAATTGTGTGGGCAGCAGGGGCATTTCCGGTGCGCTGCCCCATTTTCTCCTCATTCTATCTCCTCCTCTCCCCTGGTCCTATATTTTCCTTTCAGAATCAGCTTTATTTGCCAGGTATGTGAACACATATGAGGAATTTGACTCAGGATTGTACATTGCTCACAATGTGCTTACTTACAATACAATAATAATACAATAATAAAATCACACACAGGCTACAGTATAGAGAACGCATATATACTCATTATAAACAAAAACAATATAGACAGATGCAGGAGTAAAATTATTATCATTATTATGTACATGTCGGAGGTGGATGAGATATACATACACATACATGGATAAGTGTACCCATGTACACAGTGTGATGGAGCATAGTGCAAAGGATAAGTGGTAGTCAGTAAGCAGGTGGCTGATTAGAGGCAGAGTTACTGGCTTATTGCACAGGAATTGTTCCAGACACTGTGAGGCAGAAATCACCTATTTATCAGAGTGATGGCTTGTGAGAAGAAACTGTTCTTGAGTCTGTTGGTTTTGACGTACAGTGCTCAGTAGCAACTACCAGAGGGGAGAAGTTGGAACAGGTTGTGTCCAGGGTGAGATGGATCTGCAGTGACATTTCCTGCCAAATCCTGAATGGAGGGCAGGTTGGCACCAATTATTTTTTCTTCAGTCCTGACTGTCCGTTGTAGTTTGCTCCTGTCCTTTTTGGTGGCAGATCCAAATCAGACAGTGCTGGAAGTGCTGAGGCGAGGCTGCATGATGGCTGTGTAAAAGTGAATAAGCAGCTCCTTAGGCAAGTTGAGCTTCCTGAGCTGGCGCAAGAAGTACAACCTCTGCTGGGCCTTCTTGATCCTGGTCCTGGGATATAGTGGATCCCAGAAACCTGAAGGATTCGACAGGAGACACAGGGTTCTTCCAGAAGTTCACGATCATCTCCACAGTTCTGAGTGTGTTAAGCTCTAGGTTGTTCTGGCTGCACCAGAGAGCCAGCTGATCAATCTCCCATCTGTAGGCCGACTCATCACCGTCCCGGATGAGGCCGATGACCAGCGAACTTCAGGAGTTTAACAGATGGGTCTCCTGAGGTGCAGTCTTTGGTGTAGAGGGAGAAGAGGAGGGGGGAGAGCACACACCCCTGGGGGGCCCCAGTGCTGATAGTTCGGGTGCTGGATGTGATGTTCCTCAGCCTCACCTGTTGACTCCTGTCAGTTAGGAAGTTTGTGATCCACTAACAGGTGGAGGCTGGCACAGTGAGCTGGGTGAGTTTGGTGCTGAGGGCGGCAGATCTGCAGAAGTCAGAGTTAGTTCTATTGGGGAGAAGCAGTTCATCTGGCCAGGTGGATAGAAGGGAGCGCAGTGCGAAAAATGATTATTTCGGACAGCGGTGCATGGTTGCCACTTGTGATTGGAACACCATCGACGCATGGTAATGTCAGGTGTAAAAAGGGCCATAATGACCAACCTGTAGCTGTGGAGACTGTGGATGTTGGACTTCTGAGGCCATCTAGTGGTGCAGATGTAGTACTGCTGCTTTTTTGGCTGGTTGCTGTGGGAGCAGAGACTGTTGAGGTTGCGCTGATATTTGCAAGTATGGAGGTAGTACTGATGTTTGTTGTACTGGATGGTGTTGTTGCTGAAGTTGTTATTATATCTGCTAGCGTAGAGGTAGTTTGTATTGCTGCTTCTTTGGTCGGTTGCTGTAGTGGTGGACACTATGGAGGCTGAGGTTGTGCTCTCATTCAATAGTGCAGATGTTGTACTGGGTGCTGTTGCTGAGGAGACTGTGGATGAGGAAGCTGTGATGTTATTTGCTAGTGTAGATGTAGTACTGCTGCTTGTTGGGCTGGGTTTGCTTATCGGTGCAGTAGTAAAAGCTGTAGTCGAGAAAGAAAGATTTTCATCATAATCTTGAACCCTATCTCAATCTTAAATCCTAAACTGACATAACTGTAGCTTTCTATTTTTTGTGCTCACCCTCACTTACATTGTGTGCAGGTTGAGAAATCAGGCAGAACGTATCACAGAAACACCCCCTGGAACAGCTGTCACAACAAAATCAACACTGTACACGATTATAACTATTCAGTGTTATTTCAGTATAAACTGATAACTAATAACACAGCGTGTCATATAATAATAATAATAATAATAATAAACCTTATTTGTAGAGCACTTTTCAAAAACAAGTTACAAAGTGCTTTAACAAGTGTAAAGAATAATACAAAAAAAACAAGATAAGAGCATGAAAAATTAATATAAAATTAGTAAAATACAATAAAATAAAAGGGATAAAATAAAGTCAAATAAGATCGGGAAAGGCTGTCCTAAAAAAGTACAGTGGGTACGGAAAGTATTCAGACCGCTTTAAATTTTTCACTCTTTGTTTCATTGCAGCCATTTTCCAAAAATCAAAAAAGTTCATTTTATTTCTCAGTAATGTACACTCAGCACCCCATCTTGACAGAAAAAAACAGAAATGTAGAAATTTTTGCAAATTTATTAAAAAAGAAAAACTGAAATATCACATGGTCATAAGTATTCAGACCCTTGGCTCAGTATTTAGTAGAAAGACCCAACATGAAAGATGCAACAAGTTTTTCACATCTGGATTTGGGTATCCTCTGCCATTCCTCCTTGCAGATCCTCTCCAGTTCTGTCAGGTTGGATGGTAAACGTTGGTGGACAGCCATTTTCAGGTCTCTCCAGAGATGCTCAATTGGGTTTAAGTCAGGGCTCTGGCTGGGCCATTCAAGAACAGCCACGGAGTTGTTGTGAAGCCACTCCTTCGTTATTTTAGCGGTGTGCTTAGGGTCATTGTCTTGTTGGAAGGTAAACCTTGGGCCCAGTCTGAGGTCCAGAGCACTCTGGAAAAGGTTTTCGTCCAGGATATCCCTGTACTTGGCCGCATTCATCTTTCCCTCGATTGCAACCAGTCGTCCTGTCCCTGCAGCTGAAAAACACCCCCACAGCATGATGCTGCCACCACCATGCTTCACTGTTGAGACTGTATTGGACAGGTGATGAGCAGTGCCTGGTTTTCTCCACACATACCGCTTAGAATTCAGGCCAAAAAGTTCTATCTTGGTCTCATCAGACCAGAGGATCTTATTTATCACCATCTTGGAGTCCTTCAGGTGTTTTTTAGCAAACTCCATGCGGGCTTTCATGTGTCACTGAGGAGAGGCTTCCGTCGGGCCACTCTGCCATAAAGCCCCGACTGGTGGATTGCTGCAGTGATGGTTGACTTACTACAACTTTCTCCCATCTCCCGACTGCATCTCTGGAGCTCAGCCACAGTGACCTTTGGGTTCTTCTTTACCTCTCTCACCAAGGCTCTTCTCCCCCGATAGCTCAGTTTGGCCGGACGGCCAGC